TTTCTAACTTTCTGTGCCAGGCTTTTTTCTGACTGTGAAGTGCCTGGACACTCTTAGCACGTCCCAGTTTAAGCACAAAGCAGTGCTACTACTTAACCAGAATGTTTTTGTGTTTCCAGAGGAATTTCAACACTTTCTCTGTAGCTATACATTTAGGTAGTGATTTATTATTTCAATGGTGCTCAGATCAATTCAGCTCAACGTTTTATTTTGTATTTTGTATGTGGTCCTTGCTGGGAGGAGACTCGGAGTAATCAGGTCCCATCACTGCATGAGGAAAATCTGCCCAAGTCCAGGTTAAGATATACAAAGAAAAGTGATCAGTGGCTGAACACAGCTTTTATCGTTCTAAACGGGGCTCTTTTTAATTATAAAAAAAAAAGGACTTTCTGATCCCTCCGTATTGTTATCATGATTATTTACTTTCACTTTCAACATTCGAATCAAGTTCTTAACGAAACAGCGTTTTGATTATTGATCATGTAATACTTATTTGACATTTCTTCCTGAGGGAAACTGAAGTTGCTGTGTGTGATTTATGATTTGTGAATTTCCAGCCCTGCCAGTGTGCTGATTTGAGTTTACATGCTTGTGGTTTTAGTGCTTTGCTTTCTTTGACAGATTTCTGATCCTTCAGTCCTTTACGCAGGACTGGCTGTTGCCGTGCACCACATAGCCCACCTCACTCTGCATGTGTCAAATGATGGTAGAGAAGACGCATGGAGAAAGTCACTCCTTTTGGGACAGGGGGGGGGGGTTCAATGGAGGTGATGATGGGCGTGGAAAGATTTCCGGGGCATCTTTGTTTCTATTTTGATATTTTTCTAAAATGGCGTGTTGAATTTTTTTATTGCATATTTTAAGGTAACATTTGAAAGCAATAGGAAAAACATGAATGTGATACTGAATTTTAATTTTGCTGACTTAACGAGTGATTAATTATCAGGCAGCTCCCACAATGGACAGGAACAACTAGGGTTATGTGGTTAAGGATTTTTAATCATGATATTATGATATTGTAAGCAGTGTATCATAAAATAAACGTGGCTGTTACCAGATATATTGTTCTGTGTGTTGTGTAAGGGCCGTCGGGGACGCACCAGTGATTTAAAATGTGTCTTTCAAAACATGTATACAACGCTACGAAACATTTTCCAAAGCAATCCATACTTTCAGGTAAGTTTTGAAATGTTATATTTAAAGTTTACACAAATGTCATTCTTCACAAATTAAATAGGGGTTATGTAAAGATGTGTCTTAAAGTGAAAATAACACATGCCATCTCAATTAAGTTTTTTAATCCGTTAATTAACCCTTTAAAAAAAAAGCAGCAGCACAGACATCGTCTTAAGCTACTTTATTAATAATATTTTATTCTATTCTTCTGACCTCTTTCCATGTAAGGATGTGTTGCGTGACAGCTTGACCGAGCAGATCCCCAGCCCCCCCGCTGTTCACCCTGTCGGGGTCCGAGGGGCAACGCCAACATTTAACCTATATGTTTAAAGTGGAATTTTCCAAATCCAAACAGCTCTAATTGTTTAATCTCTTAGTTTCACACATTTCAGTTTTTCAGTGCACACTAGTGTCTTCAGTCGAGTGATTCCTCCAGGTGCTGAGAGAAGAAGACCTGCTCCTTTTCTTAATGTGAATGTGAAAGACCCCCATTGTCTCTCCATCGAATACTGATATGAACGTAGCCGTGGGGCCGAATACACACACTCCTCCTTAGTAAAGTCCTCGATGCTTCAAGTGACCTTAAACGACCTGGGTCATATATATAGCATGAATGTTTTTGAGCTAGTGCATTTTTAAAACTGTTAACTAGTCATTTAGAATAGCCTTTAAAAGACATACTTAGGTCATTGGTTACCAAGTTGAGACCCAAATAAATATGTTATTTGTATGTGTTGGCAGTTTCTGAGTGCAACACATTCAATCACCAACTTCAATTGCCTGAATGATTTTAAATGAGTCCTACGGTACTTTTCATATTCTGAGGTTAACAACATGACCGGATTGTCATCAAACACTAATAGCCATTATGTATTCAATGCAAGGTTTGACCAATATCTCAGTGTTGCTGCAGAGTTGGTCAGGTGTTTGTTCTACAGTTTTCTCTGCAGTGGTTGTGCTCTAACTTTGATTCTCCCCCTGCTGGCTCAGTGGTGTCTGTGCTTCACTCAGAACTGCAGCCCGGCAGCCAGGGTCCTCGAGGCGCTCAGATTTAAGGGTAAAGAGTAAATGACTGAAACCTTTCATCCCTCCCTAAAATCCATCAGTTCTGGAGGAGTTTGTTTTTAGGTAAGAACACAATAAATGCACACTCAAGAGAACCTTTGAGTCCTGACATGTTGGTGAAAAATAATAAGTGATGGCATTTTTCTTAAATTCCAAAGTTGTATGAAATGGGATAAATGTTCCCAAAATATTTTTGTTTTTAATAATGTATTGTTTTACAATGCATAATTTAGAGCAGGGGTGTCAAACTCAATTTCATCTCGGGCCACATCAGCATTATGGTTGCACTCAAAGGGCCGGTGGTGACTTTAAGACTATATAAAAATACATATATAAATATTTAATATATATAAAATAATTTATTATATTACAATATTTCCACTACGTCTGAAAGAAGAAGTCTAGGGAAAATAATTGCAAGTCTCTTCAGTGAGAATGTCACAGTATGATTTTCAAAGAAAAACCACATTCTGAAAAAGAAAAGAAAAACAAGGGACATTTTGAAAAAGAGAAGTGGAAAAAAAGTAATTTTGGAGAAAAAGGCTAATTCTAATTTTTTTTAAAA